TGGGGGGGAGAGATTTTTGCTGTAGGGTATGTGCTTACCAGAAAGACAGAGACAGAGAGACAGAAGTGAGAAATCACTCCCCAAGGGGGATGGCCATGCTGCAATCCCTCACCCCCATTCTCTTTTGGGGATCTTGGGCTAGCATGCTCACGCGCCTGGCATGAATTTAAGCCACTGGGTCTGGGACTTGAACCGCAGTTGACTACATGGGAGTCCAGTGAAATAGCCATTTTGCTAACTGCTGGGTCCCAGAAAATTTTATTCTCTTTCTCTTTATTTTTTTAGTTTTGCTATAGAGCATGCACTCGCCAGAGAGAGAGAGATAAAGAAGGCGAGAAGTCACCCCCTAGAAGGAATTGCAGTGCCTCAATCCCTTCTCCACCATTCTCCTTGGCATTTGGGACACACAATCAAACATACTCAGTGTGATTTTTCAAGCCGCCGCTCAATGCACTGCCTTAAACTCCACGCCATCTGCTGGCCCCAGAGGAAGATTTTAGAGATAAGGTCTGGTTCATATTGCTTACGCTGGCCTTGCCATTTTCCTACCTGAGCTTTCGAAGCAGCTGGATCTACACTCCACCACTCCTAGCTCCTCAGAGGACACTTTGACAAAAACCTATCAAAATTACAAGAGTAGTCCAGCAGGTGGCATGGTATTTAAAGTAGCTAGACCCTACGTACGATTACAAGTATGTAATTCAAATCCTAGACCCAATGGCTTGAAAATTATACCAGGCAGGACCAACAGTTGGCATAATGGCTATGTCACTAGACTCCCATGTAATCGACCATGGTTCGAGTCCCAGACCCGGTGGCTTAAACTCACGCCAAGCACGTGTGCGTGCTTGTTTGCCCAAGATCCCAAGAGGAGAATGGAGGAGAAGGGATTGCAGTATGGCCATCCTCCCTGAGGAGTGATTTCTTTCTATCTCTCTGTCTCTGTCTTTCTGGCAAGCGCATGTGCCCTATAACAAAAAAAAAACTCTCCAAAAAAGAAAATTACACCAGGCACGTCTGCCTTAGGGTAAACGCCATACACTGAGCTCTCCTCCCTCCTCCTTTGTCCTATTCCTCTGAGATCTGGCTGCTGGCCCAGTTGGACCTCATGAGCCCCTTGTGATCATTCCCTTGTCTCATGAAACAGGCCCATGGCTGGGACTGGCCTGGAGATATGCCTCACACCTCTTCCACACTTAACATCACAAGATTAGAGGCACTAATCCAGACATACTGTGCTAATGCTATTGATTAATAAGCTGATCTGGTATTGAAACCCTTAAACAATGAATGTCTTTACTTGATTTATGTATGCTTTGCTCTTGGCGTGTAAAACCTGAGCCTGTACTTGATGACAACACGGACCATTCTCCAGGCCCTCAGTGGAGCCTCCCTAGTAAGTAAACACATGTCTTTCTCTGATGGGCCTCCCAGCGTGTTCTTTGGAATCAGTAAACATTGTGGGCAAGCACTTCCAAATGTAGGGGCCCCTGAATCAGTGCACATGCCCAAAATGGGCAAGGAGAATGAAGGAAAAGGGACTGCAGCATGACCATCCCCTGGGAGGGGGGATGTGATTTCTCACTCTCTCTTCCCCCATCCTCACAACAGTGCATGAGCCCTATAGCAAAAACTTTCAAAAAAAAACTACATATACTTTATGTATAATGTACATGTAAGAATATATATGTACATTTGAGTTTATTTGTTTTTATTTTTTATTTATTTTTTTTTTTTGGAGAGGTTTTCGCTATAAGGCGCGTGCGCTCGCCAGACAGAGAGAGACATAGAGACAGAAAGTAAGAAATCACCCCCCAGGAGGGATGGTCACGCTGCAATCCCTTCTCCTCCATTCTCCTCTCAGGATCTTGGGCACGCACGCACACGCGCCCGGCGTGAGTTTTAAGCCACCGGGTTCGGGATGCGAACCATGGTTGACTACGTGGAGTCCAGCGACATAGCCATTACGCTCACTGCTGGTTCCCTTGAGTTTATTTTTTGAAGTCTGTTTATAATAACAAAATATTAAAAACAACACAAATATTCATCAGAGATTAAATAAATTCTGTTTAATCTAGTTGGAATACTGTGTAGCTACAAAATGAGTAAGTTCTTTATGTACTAATACAAAAGTTTCCAATAACTATTATCTATTTATGTTATATAAAAAATCGACTATTGGGACTGGCAGGTGGTGTGGTGGTTAAGGTGATTAAGGTGCTGAACTCTCACATGGTCAACCCTGGTTCAAGTCACAGACCTGGCAGCTTGCTTTCTTACTTTCCCTTTCTTTCTCTTTCTGTCTTGCTCTGGTCAAATTTAAAAATAATAATAAATAAAATTAAATAAATAATTCTCTTTTAAAAAAACGACTGTCATCAGGGCCAGCAGGTGGCATGGTGGTTAAGGGCACTGGATTCCCACATGGCCAACTGTGGTTCAAGTCCTGGACCTGACGGCTTGCTTCCTTGCTTTCCTTTTCTCTCTCTCTGTCTCTGTCTGGTCAAATTAAAAGTAATAATAATACCAAATGAAATTAAATAAACAAACAATTCTTTTTAAAAAATGACTGTCATAAAAGTTTAAAATATGTAAAAAGGTTGGCCAGCAGGTGTCATAGTGGTTAGGGTGTTGGACTCCCACATTGCTAACTTCGGTTTGAGTCCTGGACCTGGTGGCTTACTTTCTCTCTCTATCTCTCTCTCGTCAAATTAAAAGAAATAAATAAAATAGTTAAATGAAATAATTTATATATATATGTGTGTGTGTATACGTGTGTGTATATATGTATATATATAAAAGAAGGATAAATAACATATATACTTTTCAACAAATGCAGAAAATATTTCTGAATAGATGTACATTAGCAGCCCTATGGGAGGAGGCTGGATGGCCAGAGAGAGACCGATTAGAGAAACCTTTACTGTACTATTAGTAAGTTCTGAGTATTGTACCAGGTCAATGTACTATTTATTATTTTTAAAAATGTAAATATAACAAAGAAAAAAAAAGACATTGGGAAACTGGAGACTGACCCAAAACATGCTATTTAAAATTCTCAAGTAGGGGGACCAGCAGATGGCGTAATGGTTATGTTGCTGGACTTCCATGTAGTCAACTGCTGTTCAAGTCCTAGACCCAGCGACATAAAACACACCCAGCCTGTGTGTGTACCCAAAATCCCAAGAGAAGAATGGGAGAGAAAGGATTACAAATGGCCATCATCCCTGGGGGGTGATTTCTCGCTTTCTGTCTCTCTGTCTCTGTAGCAAAAATCTCTCTTAAACTCTTAAGTAGGGGCTGGTAGGTGGTGTGGTGATTAAGGCACTGGACTCCCACATGGCTGACAGCAGTTCAAATCCCAGACTCAGCGGCTTGCTTTCTCGCTTTCCCTCTCTCCCTGTCTCTCTCTTGTCAAATTAAAAAAAAAAATAATAATAGGGACCAGCAGTTGGCATAATGGCTATGTCACTGGACTCCCATGTAGTCGACCGCGGTTCAAGTCCCATACCCGGTGGCTTAAACTCATGCCAGGCACGTGTACATGCGTATCCAAGATCCTGAGAGGAGAATAGAGGAAAAGGGATTACGGCGTGGCCATTGCCCCTGGGGGATGATTTCTCACTTTCCGTCTATCTCTTCATCTCTGTCTTTCTGGTAAGCACACACGCCCTATAGCAAAAAACCTCTTCCAAAATAATAATAATAATAATAATAATAATAATCATAGCTATACCATGGATTTGTCGTGATGATTAAGTAGATAATACAAATGCAGGCACTTTGAAAAATGAAAGTAAACACTTAGGTGTTTCTAAATTTAATAGCAGAAGCTAATTTCAATGTCTTAACTCCTATCTATATCAGCTTAGTTTTATTCTATTCAACTTGAACTAGTGACTGTCTTTCTGTATTACAATGTACGAGAGTATTACTGTGTTAGAGCAATGAAGAAGCAAACCAGGGGAAAGACACTGTTGCTGGCCTGCAAAGCTCATAAAATAATTTGTGACAGTCCATTAATGATACTTAAGTCTGCTACGTACTTACTAAGAACCAGAAATTGTTTTTATTAATCTCTGTAATCCCACTCTGAAATCACTTCTATTAGAACCTCTAGATTTTCCATGAAGAAACAGGTGTAAAAGAAGTACCTTGTCCAGGGTCACTCAGTAGATCAGAGACAGAGCTGGGATTTGGAGTAAGTTATGTGGGACTCCATGGTCCACTTTCTTGTGTGTAGGTCATCTATTATGGATATAGGATCTATAGATGGGAAATGGTGAACATATTATAGCTTCCAACTCTATTATATCTGTAAAAATACTTTATAAATGATTAGAGCTATCAAACTATAAA